ACCGGAGGAGAGGAGCGAAAACAGTTGCAGAGCTTGAAAGCTTGAAACAATGACAGATTTAAGCAAAAGAGCTAGAAAGAGAAAAAACCAGAGGATTGAATGAGAAAAGAAAAAAATCAGAGTCAAGAAGACGACAAAGTTCAAGGATAAAGCCAAGTGCACAGGCACTAAGTAAGTATGTGAAGAACAAGAAAGTAATGACCCAGACACGATGCTAGCAACAGAAAGCGGATATGGCAAGAATAGTGCCAGGCGTTCAAACAATTCAAAACTTGAAAACAGACGAAAATAGAAGACAACAGAGGGCAAGTAAACGGATTTAGAAGAGTTATGAAAGATTGAGCTTAATAAAAGAGTTTATGAACCTACCAAGAGAAATGAACGCCGATATGAAGATCGCCGGAGTCAAATAGATGATTGGAAGTCGGGAACCCACCAAAGAATGTGAGTGGAGCAGTTGCAAAGCTCTTGGAGTTTACGAATTAATGGAACAAGAACCTCGGCTAAGAGGTGTGATCTCGAGCAGCTTGGAAAGCATGAAGCTTGATACTTGACAGAAGTGGACAGTAAAAGTCCAGGGAACTTTGAGGTCGGCGAGTTTGATCTCGGACAGAGGGGCACAGATGAACGAACAGTGTAGGTTCCATAACCTCAGAATGCTGAGGTAATAGAACCTAGGGGGCAGTTGTGGGGATATATTTTCTGAGTACCAACACGTGGCCAAGGTGATGCCGACGTGTCAGCCGAGGTGCCACGTGTCCTGGTTGTTATGCAGAGGTCATCTCGGATAGGCCGAGGTTACCTCCGAAGCTATCGGAATCCGAGATAAGCGGATGAGGGACAAGAGTCCTGGAATAAGAGAAGACTTCAGTTTGTATTAAGATAAGACTCTTAGAGAGTTTATCCTAATCTTACTGGGAGTCCAAGATTAGCAGTAATCTTGAGTCCATAGAAATTAGGCTTTTATTGGGACTAGATTTACGTTGGCTATAAAAGAGAGGCACCCCCATGGGTCTAAGGTATGCTTTTGGTACTCAAGCTTGTGAGTTTAGCACTTGATTTATCTTTGAGAGATATACTGACTTGATCGTCGGAGTGCCCCTGGGTGGATGAACCACCGCCGGAATCTTCTCTTTCTGTTGCAGGTCAGCTAGGTGCCATCTATTCTGCCGGTGCTCTTCAGCTGGTTACTAAGCGGGCAGTGTGGTCAGAAAATCACTCACACAGAATCCATAACAGAAGATCACACTCATCAAGACAACAAACGTATAAGGATGCTCTCAAACTGCCTAAATTCCATAGGAGATTTCTTATTTATCCTGTGTGGAAGCAAAAAGGTGAATAAAATGGTAGTACTTTGGGGGATCTAGTTTGATGGAGGTGGAGAGAAGAAAGAAATTGATGGCATTGTTGTAGGGATGGTTGGGATTGAAGGAATTGTAGTTGGGATGGTGGGCAATGAAGTTGCCGGCAGGGGAGGTAGAGTCCATGGTTGGCAATGTTGGATTGGGCAAAGTTGATGGAATTTGGGTTCTTGGCAATGGAGGCAATGTGGGCATTGGTAAGGTTGGCATTGTTGGCATTGCTGGCAATGGAGGCAATGTGACCTTTGGCAGAGATGGAATTGCAGGCACTGTTTGAAGTAGGTTGCGTGCTGCGAGGCTGATCTGGGTGCTGGAAAATGTTAGCACTACAACCAGAGATAGAACCAAACTAAAATGATAAGAAGCCATTGTTTTGGTACTTCGAATATGGAAGATGATATTGTTTGTAAGCAAGAAGTGTGTCTGTTTGTTCTAGGTAGGTTGAAGAGAACACACTTCTTGAGTGGATATTTATATACAATAGAGATGTTGAAAGAATCAACTGATTTGCAAAGAGCAAAGTGAGTTTGATGAGATGTGGTTAGGCCAAGTGTTGAGAAAACACACACTGGTTTGGTTTGTTCACCATCCCAAATTTGGATTATTGCAAAGCAAATTCAAAGGTTAAGTAACCTACAGAAAAAGATGCACCAACTTGAGCAATTAAGAGAACTCTTTCATTTTTTAGTAGGCCAGTGGGACGCTCATTGGAAAATAAAAAAAGGCTATAAGTTTGTCCACCCTGATATGGTTTAATACTATTTGGCCATGTTTGATTGGAGGTTTGGGGAAGGGAACTGGATTGTGGGTCTCATTTAGATCATGTTTGTTTGCAAAAACATGGTGTGGGATTGGTGACTAATGAATCCCTCCCATGGTAGGATTAACATTCTGATGGGGGTTGGCTACAAATCTCATCCCATGATTTGGTGGTTTTTTACCCTTCATAAAAATAAACTACCTTCTATGTTATAATAATTTTTACATAATTTTATAGATTTAATTCTAACTAGATAATACCATCACATTAATGTACAGATAAAAGCATTTTAACTTACATATTCAACTTAATATTATCCCACTATTATTTCAATTTATCGTACTTATAATCTCATCAAATCTAATTCTCGAAACAAATGTGACCTATGGCCTATATTATTATTTTGAGTAAATTATACTTGTAATCTCTGTAGTTCTCCTATGTTACTTTAGTCATTGTAATTTTAATTACGTCAACTAAACATTTAAAATTTAGAGTCAAAATAGTTAACACACTTTCCTTAAAGTGATTGAGGGATTCACGTCAAATTTGAATTAATCCATTTGCGATTCATTTTGTTTTTTATTCTTGTCTAATTTCTTAATAAATACTATTAATAAAAAAGTAGATACTATCAATTGAACTAAATTGATATAATGTGAAGTATACAATAGAAATTTGAATATGGCTGCAAAACAAAATTTATGTAAATTAAAATTAGTTTTTTATTTAAAAAAAAATACATTACCATTTTATTTATTTGAGTCAAAACTAAACATGATCTGATGTAGGATTTGAACCTCTTTGTGAGAATAGTCATATTTGTTCTAGTTGAACCTATTCTATGAAACAGCTCTGTTTCCTTCATTTGGAAAGTCACCATAGCTATTGGAAAAGTAACCAATTCCTCTATATAAACAGGTCCTTATTACATTTATAAGTATCAAATTCATCTTGTATTTTATCTTCTTTTGACACTCTCTCTCTCCTTCCTCTATAAAAGAGAGCAACGGTCGGTCCAACCCTATTGGGACCCTACGGCAAAAAGGCCTTTTGCTATTTAACTGTTAAATAAAATTTTTCATATTTTAGTTTTATTCAAAATTAATTTTCTTGCCTTTTGTGAAGTAAAATTACTAATTAAACTTTTGTAATCAAAGTTTTTTAATATATATTTTTCAATTGATAAAACGACTAAGTCATTTAATATTTATTGTAGCAAAATATTTTATCAATTTTAATTTTAAAAAGTATTTTTGCAAAAATAATTGTAAAATGGTTCATAATTTTTTTAAAACAATAGTCAATTTTATGTATGATTTTACTTATTTTTCTTAATTTTTAATTGATAAAAAAGTTAATCCACGTAATCAAGTTTTTCTAATATTTCATTACTTTTTACTACATCTTTTAAGAGATGATTTTTTTTTTCATTTATGAAATTTTCACTTTAATTTTGTTGTTGCTGGTTGTTTTTTTTTTTTCAAATTTTTTTTATGGAAAGTTTTTAATAGTTGATAGGTTTATAGGGAGCTTTATTATAGAGAGTCTCTAATTGGGAAAATTAATTAGAGTGTGTTGTTGGATTTCTATGTGCCACTACAAAGCCCACATCAATTATCTGGCCTATTCAGTAGATAAGGCTCGTTGACTAATTTATTCGTTCAAAAAATCATGTTGATCGGATATTAATAATCATTTGATCAAATCATATTTGTGTTAACAATTTATTTTAAAATCATATTTACTGTTGACACAAATGTGATCTGATCAAGTGTCTATCAATATTTGATCAATGTGATTTTTGGTAGAGATAAAGTACTCGATAAGTTTTACATATTAACGGTCTAAATTATCAATGTAAATTCCGTGGTGAATCCACATAGGTGTAATAATATCCTCCAATCCGATATGGACAAGAGAAGTTAAAGCCTTATCGCAAGTCTTTGCACCGATATAATGATGAAGCAATCCATCCTGTGGGATTTGGTCAAAATTTCTCATAATAAAATTTTAATACATTAAGTACAAGTACAAAAAAAAAAAATTCTTGAAAAGTCGAGCACATATTTCTATTATCAAAATATTCTTAGTAAGTAATTTAATATTTTAAATTTTAAAATAATATAACTTTTAATCTATATGTCGGTTTTTAATAAAATTAACATTTTTATAATTCTCTCATCAAGATCTATCAAATAAAATATAGTTGACTATGAAATTCTTACACACTAACATGTAGGGGGGTTTTGGCCAAATTTTCCATTTTGAGGGGAATTAATAATGGTTCTTTTTCATAAATCCATTTTCACCTATTTATATTCCATTTAGTTTACATTATTTTTAGGGAAATTTATCGGAAAGTCCCATCTAGGTAAATTATGTTCCGTTTGGTCCCACAAATTTTTTGTTTGATTGGTAAGTCCATGGTAGAATGAATATCTTACAGTTCACTCCTTTTTTGAATTTACATTGTTATGTGGAGGACGAATATGCCCTCACATAAATTGTGGAATGTGTTTGTTTTATTTTGGGTATTTATAATCCCACGTTTGGTGAGGGAGGTGGAAGTGTGAGATCTTGGTGAGTATGTATATATAATCCATTTTAAGGTTTGTGTTTTGTGGCCCACATCATCTGTGACAGTCCACCATTGCTGGGTTTAACGTCAACACTGTCGGCTTCCCACAGGGATGGTCCACATTTTGTATTCACGCACCATTGTTCATGTTCACGTTCACGTTAACCCAATTCTAAAAATGTGAAAACATTTAATCAAGTGCTTGTAGTCTCATGTGAACCCAATTCTAAAAATATGAAAACATTTAATTGAGTGTCTGCAGTCTCATCATGGTTTTAGTTTTAGATATAGGTATCAATTTTTGTTTTTTTGTTCTCTCTCATCTTCTCCTTTTCCCATATCTTCTGCTTCTTCTTTTCTTTCTATTCTCTTTTTCTCTCTCTCTTCTCTGCTTTTCTCTTTCTAACCTATGAGTGATCCCGTTAGCCTCCTCTTCCAGAGCTGGCATGTCGGCATCCTCACCTGCTTCCTCATCCTCCTCGATGCTCAGACCCAATTTCAACATCATGTGAATCCTCGCAGCAAATGTATTTGGATCATCAAGACTGAACCCAGAAGTCAAGAGCGCCGTCTCAAACAGCAGCATCATAAGATCTTTCACCGACTTGTCGTTCTTGTCAGCCTCAACTCTCTTCCTCAACTCCCCCATAATTCCATTGTCAGGATTGATCTCCATGGTCTTCTTGCTTCATTCTCGTGATATAATCCTTTAGGTTAGTCAGCTCGTCGCCGCTCTTTGTTGAGTGATATCGGAGCAAATCAGCCAATTTCGCCCTGTTTTGGCTGTCCTCATGGATACCCAACTTCAAATTCTTGGAGAAAGCTTCATAGAATTTGTTGTAGTCCTCCTTGTTCTCTGCAATCTCATTGAACATCTCAATGCATTTCTTCACAAGGTTCTTCCTGATCAAGTAAAAGGTATTTGCAGTAATACCTCACCATTATTCACATTCATGTTTAAGCTGGATTCACGCACCATTGTTCACGTTCACATTAACCCGCTTCACACACCATTGTTCACGTTTGCGGACCATTTTGAGTTCTGGGTCATCACGTCGCATACATTGTTCACGTCACGTTGGATCAACTAGTCCACTACCACTACGCTAAGCCGGATTCACAGGAGACACCTCCGACCGACCAACCAAACTAGTGTTCTTCACGCCACAGCACTCAACGCCAAGTACAACCACACCACCTCTGATATGCACAAACTCGGGGTCAATTATTCCTTCAATCTCTTCCGTCTGTTTAGGGATTATGTTGATTTGAATTTGCGAAATTGGGGGGGGGGCAATTCCAACAATTAATAAGGTTCACGTTGCACCTAGCCACCGAATCGTCTCCCAATTTGGGGATGATTCCTATTTCCAAAACACTTATACAGGTCTTACCAATTTGATTTTCCGGGTCAACACATTTTTGAGTTCGGGCCATACAAAAAACCCGATTCACGCGCCCACGTCGTACTAGCTACCCAAAACCAATGTGGTTTTAGTCCCACATTAACACAGTCCCACAACTCCAAAACGTACTAGTACGCTTTTCTTGGGTATGTGAACCACAAACACCATCATTCCCATAAACATGCCCCATAAATTCAAATTAACATATTAGTGGCAAAATTGTAAACAAGCTGTCATAAGGACTAAACAGTTTAACAAAAATAATTTAGGACCAAATGGGTTACAAGATGACAATTTGGGATTTACTAGTCAATTCCCCTTATTTTTTTTATATTCCAATAAGTCCTATGGATGACATAGTTACCAAAATACCCTTAATAATATGCACATTTACAGTACGAATGTTCCGTAATGTGAATGTTCACATCGTCAATATAAATATTTACATTATAAAATATGAATGTTCACATCACCAAATTACTAATCATTCAGAAAATATTTGTAAGCGTAAAAATATCCATAAAATACTTTAAATATAAGAATTATGATTTGATAGATTAAATGTTCAAATAATAGAATTTATTAAATATAAGAATATCTTTTAAACTAATTAAAATATAAACACTTAAAAAATAATCTTCTAATAAATCTCCCAATTAATAATGCTCATAAGTAGATTGGAGACGCCTTCAACTACCCTTCTTTGTTATGTAGTCAAATGGAATGAAATTTATGAAAATAATAATAAATACATACATAGATATTTGAGTGCCTTTATCAGTAGGGTCCAAGCAACACTCTTAATAAATAGATACATAGATATCTGAGGGCCTTTATCAGTTTAGGGTCCAAGCAATAGTCTTAGTAGCCTTGCACTTGTACCAGGCCTGAAGAGAGGTCTGCACACATTAAAGTTCATCAAATTTGTGCATTGTAGTGTTACTTTGTAAAATCTTAGGAGAGCATTGTAGTGGGAACGAATTTGTCTTAAAAAAAATTGCATCTAACACAGTATCGATCAAATTATACATTTTGTTTGTAAATTTTCTCACATTATTTTATGATTTCATTCATTTTATTTGGTTTCAGTTTTCAAAATTCACTTTTCAAAAAATTCCACATTTTTAGTTTCCTTTTTTTTTTGTTTTCACAGAATTTTTTAAATATTTTAAGCAATATTTTTTAAATTTTAAATTTTTAGACACACCTAACATAAAAATACCTAAAAAATATAATATTTATGAAAAAAACTTTAAAAAAATACTAAATACCAACAATACAAAAAAAAAAAAAAATTGAAAATTTAGTGTATTTATTAATTTTTTAAAATATTTTTTCACAAATATTTTACTATTCAGATATATCTAAGTAAAGTGCATCCAACAAAGTAAAAAAATTACTTAAAATTTTAAAAATATTCACTAAAAACTAAAAAACACAAAAAATAAAAAACTCAATTTTCAAAAAATTGAAACCAAATTTCTATATTAGTTTCAGAATCTAATTCATAGTGCACAAGAAATTATTACAAGAAACTACAAATGACCAAATTAGCACAAAAGGCAAATTACAGAAGAAATCATGGTATAATTTGTTCTATTATTTTTTTTTTCAAAGACAGGCGTGTCAAGAAGAGAAAAATGAATGAGGATTTTCTTCAATGTTGCAATAATCTTCATTTGTTTCTCACCATATCAAGGCAAGTCAACACAGTATATAAATTCAACCATTAATTCAAATTTAAAAATCAAGTAACATGATTTAATCTATTGATTTTTTTAAATCATTGCGTATAAATCATTCATAAAAGAAAAAAAAAATCAAATTGATCAAATAATTATAGTAATACATTTCGTCACGTTTGTTTTAAATAATAGATGACAAATATGATTTTGAAAATACATCAATCATTTTTTCTAAAGACCAATGTGATGAAAACATGTGACTACAAATGTCATATCAATCTGAAATTTTTAATGAATAATGGGATAAAGAAAAATCAACCATTCACATTATTAAAGTAAGACCCTTGGTGGATCAGGGCTGAACTGGATGGTTCATTCCTCTAAGTTATGTTTATGAATGCTTTTGTGCTTGTATGTATTATTCAGTTTTAACTTGGTCAACTTCTAATTAGCACTTTTGAAGACAGAAAAGAGAAATCATATTCTAATATAGACTGAAAATTAACAAAAATAATAGTTCAGTAAAGAAGGAAAACAAGTATTCAAATTCATACTGAACAACAATACACAATACTTTATAAGGTACATAAAATGAAAAATTAATACAAAAGGAATCCATAACAAAATCTCACACTCATCAAGAAGGAATTTTATTTTTTGATCGGCAAAATAAAACCTTTATTGATGAACAAAGAAATCATTACATCAAGAAAGGAAAAGAGATCAGTGCAAAAAGTATCATAGCGAGACATGAATGAACTTTATTATCTACTGTGTGTAGAAAAATCATGAAAAGAATGATTGCATTTTGGGGGATCTAGTTTGATGGAGGTGGAGAAAGGAAAGGGATTGATGGCATTGTTGTTGGGATTGAAAGAATTGTAGTTGGGATGGTGGGCAGTGAAGTAGCCGGTAGGGGCGGTAGAGTCAGCTGAGGAACAGTGGGCATGGTTGGCAATGTTGGATTGCGCAAAGTTGATGGAATTTGGGTGCTTGGCAATGGAGGCAATGTGGGCATTGGCAAGGTTGGCATTGTTGGCAGTGCTGGGATTGTTGGCATCGAGGGCAATGGAGGCAATGTGACCTTTGGCAGAGAAGGAATTGCAGACACTGTTTGCAGACCGTTGCAAGCTACCAGGCAGATCTGGGTGTTGGAAAATGTTAGAACTATGAATTTGTAGTTTATATTGCATTAAGGATAGTTTAGTCCTTTACGTTGTTGGGGTTTTATTCTATTGGCTTATATAATTGTACTCAGTTGATTGATTTGTGATGTACAAGATTTCTATTTCATTCTCTTTTATCATGGTATCAGAGCAAAGTTACGATCGAACCTAGGTTATTCTTGGCACCAGAAGTTGCACATCGCAGGTCTGTCGTTGGCTCTCTCTCGCATCGCAGGTCTATCACTGGTTCTTTCTCGCATCATCAACCGTCGTTTCTGTCCATCCCAGTGCATCACAGGTCTGTCATTGGCTCTCTCTTGCATCATCGACCATCGACATCACTCTTTCTCTTCTCGCAAGTGGTTCGTGACTCCTCTCCCTCTTTAGCCTTCAAGGTGGTTTGATCGTGTACTAGGGTTTACTTGGAATTTTGAGTTCGAAACCCTACGGTTGTTATGAAGGAGCAAGTGACTGTACAATCGAAGTTGTGTTGATAAACGGTTAGGATTTTGTCTCCGAATGGAGGGAGGTAATGTCCCTAGACTTTCTTCTTCTGGTATTGTTCACTTCCTCTATCGATTTGAGTCGTTATTTATGAGCATTTGGTGAGATATAGAGATTGTATTTAGAGGAAAATTTGAGGGTTGTTAGTTGATGCGTGTTGGAATAGTGAATTGAATTTTAGAAATATCGCTGGTGATAAACTACTAAGTTAGATGGTACCAATTATTCTTATTGGTCTCATGTAATGAAGAATTTTATAATGGGTAAAGACATGTGGAACTATGTTATTGGTGTAATTATTAGACCTATGGAATCCAAAGAAACTGAGGCTGATGTTTCTAAATGGGATAAGGAAAATGCATAAATTCTTACTTGGTTTCATAATTCAGTTCAAATTACCATTGCTATGATATTTTTCCAAGTATTCTACTTCTAAACAAGTTTGGAACTATTTGAAAACTATGTACCTTGAGTCTTAACTTTGCAAAACAGTATGAACTAAAGATGTCTATTTGCAGTGCTAGTAAAAAAGATAAGTCCATTCAGGAGTTCTACAATGAGATGACAACTTATTGGGATTAGCTTGCTTTAATGGAACCATCAGATTTGCAGTTACTTGACAGTTATACCAAGTATCAGGAGAAGCAATGTTTTATTCAATTTCTTATGGCCCTTCGTGATCAATTTGAGCCACTTTGGGGGGCTATTCTTCATTGGCCCCCCTTGTTTTTTGTTGATGGTGCAACAAGTTGGGTCTTGAATGACGAATTTTTTTTTTTTTGTCTCCAAAGAGCTAATTTCGTCACTATAGTTATTTGTGAGAAAATATTTTCGTCACTGGGTTCGTCATTGAATGTTTGTCACTAAAAAACATCGTGACGAAAAATAATTTCGTCACCAATGAAATTAATTTAGTGACGAAAATTTTTGTCACCAATAAGACAACATTTTGTCACAAAAAATCCTCATTTTTGTCACCAAATAGTTATTCAATACCATATTTATAACTTTAGTTGACGAATAAATTTGTCACACATGTTGATCATTGATGAGAAAATAATTTCGTTACAATAAGATGTAAAGTTGACGAAAGTCAAACATGGGTGACGAAATATATTTCGTAACAAAAATATGTACACGTGACGAAATTTTTAATCACCAAACAACAAAATCAATGAAAACTTTCATATATAAGCAGCGATAAATTTTGTCATAAAAAAATTTATTAGTTGCGAATAATCACTTTGTCATAATAACAAGTATAGATGACGAAAAAATTCGTCACTAAACTTGTTCCATATTTTATATTTCATTTTAAATTATTATTTCACAAATATGCCTGTTCATATCCCAATCGTCTTTTAAATGTACTAAGAAATTCACTAGCTAATATACACTACTCCACACAAAAAAATTCGCTAAACAATTTATATTATAAATCAAAATATATCCATGAAAACCATTATAGTAAATCCCAAAATGAACCAACGTGGTGTCCACAAAAAAAAAAAAAAAAAAAAAAAAATCTTAATTTACAACTAGAACTGTGTATCAATTCAAAAAATAAAATAAAATTCAACACTTGATCTTGATTTGCAAGTATGCTTCCAAACGTCATCGAAAACCAATCTGCAAAGAAAATAAACAAGGAAAATATTATCAAGGATGTACAGGAAGGATAGCTAGGAGTAGAAACAAATCCTTCATGTTATTATCTAAAAACAAATTCCAATTGAGCACTTCTCTAGCTGTTAGTCATACAAGCATCTGTTATTATCTAGAAACAAATTCCAATTGTTTAAGAAACAAATCCTTCATGTTCTTCTGTAATTGGTTTTTGGTTTGAGGTAAGTTTGATAAATGAAGCTCTTCAATTATTTGGTCTCTTATTTTTGGCAGCATCAAATTGTTAAGAGTTTCTGGTGTTTATGTTCTATCTTCTTTAAGGTACTAAAGTTTGTTGAAAAGTACTATAATTATGCATTACTATATTTAGATTAATGTTTATCAATGTTAACAAGGCAACACCTACATTAGGATCAAAAGTCCGTCCTTACCACATCATAAGCTGCACATTGACATGATGAACTTACTAACCATTTGATGTATGAAGTATGAGCAGGGCGGAGGCAGATTTCAACAATTCTGATGCCAAAAAAATTGATGTTGGGCAGTGATGAGAAAAGTTTTTTAGAGACTGATTATGCTAAGATTTTGTTGTAACTAGTGGGCAAAACAATAGAGTTTAAGGGTTTGTTTGGATACAAGAGAAGGGGAAGAGTTTAGGGCTATGATTTTACAAAGAGAGGCAAGAGTTTGGAGCTGTGATAGTACGGCCGTAAATATTAATAAGCAGTTGATTTTAATGATGTGTAGTGGTTAGAGTTGAAGGATTTAAAAGAAAAGGTTTAAGGTTGGCAAGATATGATTTTGGGTTAGGAGAAATGATGAGGTAGATATGGTTTTGGGGGTTTAAATGCTAACTCATTGCAGTAGAGAAGTAGACGTATAAATTGGGTAGCACACATAGATTCACGTAGGATTGGGTCCAACTATACATGGACTTTTAAGAGCTCCTAAACTATTCCTATTTGGAAACTACGAATTTGACAGGCATAATTTATCTGAATTTACTAAAACTTGGACTGAAGACCCAAAAAAGTGGGTTTGAGCCATCATTTTTTTTTAATCAATAACGGCATTTTTTAAATAATAAGCAATTTACATTCTGTTCGAATTGAGATTAGGTTACTCCTACACCTTTTATTGCTCCAACATCTTAACCCATCCCATCAGACTAAGAATTACGTGCCACACAAAAAGGTGAAAGTGTACATGTTGGTACTGAGTGCATATTAATGTTGAAATATCTTAACATGTTCCATAGATTAAGAAACCTAAAATCATAGCAAGCAAAACTACTCTAAGCTAGCCAACCAAACCAATCTTCTTTCAGGAGACATTGCCATAAACATCTCCCTCCAATCTAAATCCTTAAACATCTTGATTGCCTTTATGTAGGTACTTGAATCCACTCCTTCAATCGCTTCTAGACACTTGACACAATTGGTAATTGAGAATGGACTAGCTTGGGAAGATGTCTCAAGTTTATGTAAAGTTGGGGTCATTATCTTACTAGTTTTAGCCCATTTTCTATCAGACATCCCCGGGGGAACTGTAGCTTCAGTCCATTCCTTCAATGCCTCACCCTCCACTACTGTTCTTGCCTCCCTCTTCCCTCTAAGATGGCTCGTAGGAGTGGAAGATCATTGGCGATGGCGTCTAGTACTTTGCGAGGGAAAATCTCTACCATTGCTACTGTCACTTGGGAAAGCGGATGGAGTAGCATTTGTTGACTCATCTTCTACATCCAATTTATATTCACTGACCATTGGATATTGAGCTAATGGAAATACATCTTTGTAACTTGATGTTGGGTCCCCAAATATGATTCCTAACTCATTAAACATTGGGCACCCTTTTTTCCGAAATCTCTTCACATTTTTGTTTCCCTATATTAAAAAATAGTGATTCAGTGAAATTAAAAGAAAAGTGGCTTCAAATTCAAAATTTTAAAATTTAAGTGTTCACCTTTATGTATGATTCCCAAACAGCATCAGTTGCGGTTACAGTACTGAGCACGGGTTCCCAAGTAAACCCAGGTTCCTTCAACAGCTTACTAAAATCATTAAAACGGGTTCTCAGCTGGTTAAACTTATTTCTAAACTGAGAATTGTTGTACCTCTTGTTGGTTTTCTCACAGAACTCTTGTTCAATTTGTTTCCAACCTTTCCTTGAAAAGGTGGTTGATGATCTATTCCCTTTGTGAACCTCTTTCACCATTAACTGAATATAAAGTTCCTCCTCTAAGGCTGTCCATGTTGCAGGATCGGGCTCAATTTCTACTTCATCTCCTTCATTTAGTCTAAGTGCCATCTAAATAGGAATATAAAAAACATATGTAAGCCAGAAAAAAGTTGATCAATAATCATACCTTAGCTCAAGAAACATCAAAATAGTAGAAGGTTGTGTATTAAGATGCCTGAAATATGGTGAATAAACCGAGCATGGCTCATCAGAGTATGATAATTACTCAACTTAGAACCACAAACCGAACAATAAAATTATAACAGGTGTTTGCTTCATTGGACTAAGGCATGGGATTGGACTCTATATCCAATAGATTTACTAGTCCACTGTTTGGTTAGAAAAATGAGAGTCGGACTAATAGTCAAATACATATCATTTCTAGTCAGATATTCCAGTGACTATTTATCTCAGACCTAATAGTCCATTGCATTCCAATCCCAAGTTAAATTGTGTCCATAAAATTCAGACTATCTCAACCAAATGAACTAAGACTGATATATCCAGAGTGAGAGCAACAAACCTCATGATAGTTTCCAAAGCAGAAAGCTACGAGGTCCGAAGGCCAGTCAACTTAATTATTTCTGACAAAACCACCAGCTTCATTAGATTAAAAACAAAATACCAGGAAAATAAGGATTGCAGTAACTTTACATGCATGCATATGACACTAGTAAAAAATATCAAGGAGACCGTATTCTTTCTTCAACGTTAAGGATGCATTCGTTTCATTCACTCCAGATCTATCCTTGGAGGTTTTTGCAACATTTTCCCCTGCACAACATTTATTTTGTTTTTCTCCCAAATATTTTATAAAAAAAATATGCTAACCTTTGATCCAAAACACAGGTTTGATTGACTCAAACAAACAAACAAAAATCCATTTAAGCCTGGAAACAAAGAAGCCATGCAGCAATCACGTGAACCGCAAACCAGCACTAGCAGTTGCTCCATGCACATCTCCTGCAGAACCCACTTAGTTTCACAACTGAATTGCGAGGTGATGGGGGAAAGAAGAAGAAAGGAGAATGAAAGATATAAAAGATGGGAATCAAAGTTTCACTGTGGGAGGAATATAAAAGTTTTGAATATCCTCTCATGGCTATAAGACTGAAACTAGGAGCTCCTTTGATATCATATACTATTCTAACGAAGAGATTTTGAAAAAAATGCTGTCACTTATTTGATGATGAATTCCTCCATGAGGAAGTGGTTGTCAAGCATATTATTGACATGGTAAGATTCCGTATGTTATCTGTTTCTAACCTGAAAAGCCATCTAGGTGACAGGTGGTTCCTTGACACATGGAAATTGCCAGATTCAATATTGAAGAATAGCCCCAATCATTTGGGAAGAGAAATGAGGGATGGGAGTTCATTAAATGTGGGTTGGGTGATTGTGAAGATATATTGAGTGTTTCCAAATGTTTTGTTTATTGTGCAGGTTACAAGGAGCTGTTATGAGTGTTAAACCATTTCATAGAGGTTTGAGTGTTGTGAGGAAGTTATACTACACACCTCTCACTGACCATATTGAGAGTGTATTGATTAACTATTTATAAATATTTGTATATATACTCTGTTTTTCAGGTTGCATGAGGTTGCTGTTTTTTGAGTGTTGTGAGGTCTCATATTGTGGGTTGAGGGAATTGTGGAACCAATCAATTATGAATTTTGGAGACACTTTGGAGGGACGTGATATTAAATAGGAGACCTTTGTCAAAAAGAAAAAAAGAAAGACCCACTTCTGCTGCTGTATATAGTGTATGAAGTGAAAATGAAATAGACAAAAATTAGGAGCAGTGAAATAGAACTACAATTTCAGCAATGAGAAAAAATCATTGTTAAATTAGTATTGGAGTTAATATTAAGAATCGACAGAAAATTTTGTATAATTAAAACTACAATCCATTTTGTTTGTTCAATATATCTTCCACTTGAAATTCAAAAACCCTAAATCATTTCACAGAATAAATCATCTCATCTATCACACCAATAATTAGTTCAAAAAACCCTAAATCTAGAACAAAAATCAAAACTCATATACTCATTTCACAAAAAAAAAAAAATCCTATAACATCAAAAAAAAAAAAAAAACCCTAGCTCTAGAGTGAAATGGGAAAATAAAGGAAGAGAGAGAGAGAGAAACCTGAACGTCGATGGGAACCGAGGAGACGAGGAGCAACGGTGACTGACTAGCGCCTATGAGAGAGAGGGGGAGAGCAAGACTGTTGGTGTTTAGTCACTCTGTTTGATGTATGTACCTGTACTACAGATAAATAAAAAATTAATAATACTAAAATTAAACATAAACGGTGAGCGACTAACTATGAGAGAGAGAGAGAGAGGGCGAGAGCAAATGTTTGGTCTTTGGTCACTCTGTTTGGTGTATGTTTGGTGTATGTGCCTGTAATACATATAAATAAAAAATTAATAATACTAAAATTAAACATAAACTCAAATTAGGCGACAATATTTAGAGTCAAAATCAAGTTAGTTGAAATTATAGGAACTAAAATTCAAAAAAATTTATCAATGCACAGGAGAGCAATTTGAAATTTTATTTCTTCTTTTAAGTCATATAAAGCCGTTAATCAATTTTGTACATGTGGCAAGTATAGTTAAAAAAAACATGTTATATTTAGTTTAACTTATTTGTTATTATTTATTTTGTGCATTTTAAAAAATTTGAAAATATATTAGCATTTTTTATTTTTTCAAAAAATGCCATTAGATAGCTTGAAAAGTTTTTGACTTAGTGGCATTTCTCAAAATGCTATAAAATATTTGTTTAGGACACTTTTCACCTAATGCCATAAAAAGTAACTTGCACCTACTTAGTTTAGTGTCATCTGTTGATAAATGTCACTGAAACAATTTCGTGTGCCATTCTTTTATAAAATGTCATAAAATTGATGTGATATTTTTTTTTATTGAAATGCCACTAGAGCCTTATATATTTGTGGTTCTGTAGTTTTTTTTTTCTACAACGTGTTACCAAATATTATTTTCGTAACATTTTCTAAAAACATGCCACTAGTGTAGTGCCACTAAAGTGTGTTTTTGTTGTAATGTATATTCTTCATCAAATAGTTTCAAAATATTTTAAATCAAATTTTTCAAAAAAAAAAAAAAATTTAAAATTATTGGTGCCAAAAATATATTCCTCACTACTAATTTTATAATTGGTGACAAATTGTTTTTCTCACCAAAAGTCTCAAAATTTTAGCCCCCACCCAAAAAAATTAGAGAGAAAACCTTTGGTGACGAAATTTAATTTTTCCTCACCTAAAATGTAGTATTTATTAACGAAAGTAAGTTTCATCACCTATTATTTTTACTTTTTTATTATATGTGACAAAATTTTATAATTCGTCATGCATTATTCTTATTTAGTTACGAAATTTATTTTCTTCACTACTTTTCGTCACCGTAGGTTACTTAGAGAGCTAATTAACTTGTGTTTTGTTTTTAAAGAGAGAGAGAAAGAGGGGAGAGGAAAACTGATAAACAAAAAATGAGGAGGGGGGAGGGAAAGTTAGTAGTATATTTTTTTTCATTACTGCCCAATATTTCAAAACTTTCCCTTCAAAATTAGTGACAAAATAATTTCCTCACTAAAAAGGCTCAAAATATTAAAAATTATTAGTGACAAAAATATATTTATCACCAAATGGTCTTAAAATATTTAAAATCAAGTTTCTCAAAAAATATATATATAAAATTATTGGTGACGAAAATATATTCCTCACTAATAATTTTATAATTGGTGACAAATTTTTTTCTCACCAAAAGTGTCAAAATCTTGGCGCCACCAAAAAAAATTATTGAAAAATATTAGGTGACGGAACTTAATTTTTTCTCACCTAAAAAGAAGTATTCGTTGACGAAAATAAATTTTGTCACCTATTATTTTTATTTTTTTTATTATATGTGACAAAATTTTATAATTCGTCACGGATTATTCTTATTTAGTGACGAAATTTATTTTTTCTTCACTACTTTTCGTCATCATAGGTTACTTTTGTTGTAGTATTGAGGAAAAAACTCGGTTTAAGGTGGCTCATGGTGCTCTTGCCTTTTTAGTCAATTTTTGTCACCTCTCCGCTCTTGCCTACCCCTCTATCTCATTTATTTCAGGTTATTGGTATGCCCTAGTCTCGGGTTTCCATGGATGAGTGCAGCTTTTGTCGTCAGCGAGGCCATTGGAAACATGCTTGTCCTAAACTTTTGCAGCCTAAGAGTCATTCGCTTGGTCCACCATCCTCTAAGCCGCCATCTTCGGGATCTTGCTCATCTGCCGCCTTTTTTGCACCAGCTTCTGAGAATGGGCCGTCTTCCAATATGTAGTCTATGTTTGAGCAGTTCAAGACTACCATTCAGTTAGGTTTGTCTGGTTCATCATTTTCAGGTAATATCCACATTTTGTGGATTTTAGATTTTGGTTGTTCACATCATATGACCCCTGTTGTATCTCTCCTTCGTAATTGCATCTCCCTTTCTTCTTTTATCACTATTGCTACTGCTAATGGTTCTTCTATGCCTGTACACTCTATTGGTTCTATTTCCTCTTTCCATTTGTCTTTTCTCCTGTATTTTATGTGCCTCACCTTTTACTTAGTCTTATTTCTATTAGTGAATTATCCGATTCCGATTTTAATGTTGTTTTCTCTTCTTCTCATTGTGTTGTACAGGATCGGGTATCTAAAAGTCAGATTAGGATTGGGTGTAGAGTTAGAGAACTATATATCTTGGACAACTTGCATGTTCCTCCAGAAGTGTCTTCTTTTTGTTTAAACTATAAGTCTTCTTTATTTTATATTTGGTGTTAGGTTTTATTCTTGGCAACCCCATTTGACAAAACTCCTTTTAGTTGTATTTGTTTTCGTGTTTTTATTTCAGTGAGGCTATGAGTGTTTAGATGCGAATCCAATCCGAATCGTGCCTTTGTCAATTTCCATGAATCAAAACCGAGGTTGTAACAGGATTTAGTCTTCCAGATTTTCCAATTTTGGTCTCCCCGCTCGAGCGGGGAAAGTGACGCTCGAGCGGGGATTGCAAGCTCACAGCATCTCTGCTTTGCCTGAAAACGTACTGGATGGTGTGATTCGGCGCTAGAGCGCGGGAACTTCCGCTCGAGCGTGAAGCCTATATGAATCACACAATTTTGAAGCCTTCGCTCGAGCGGGAATTCCCACGCTCGAGCGGACCGCGCGAACACAGATTCTATAAATTCGCGTGTTGGGTCAAATCTAGGATTACTTTGGATTTCTATAAGGAATTGGTTTTCTTCCAAAATTAGGATTACTTTGGATTTCTATAAGGAATTGGTTTTCTTCCAACACTAGGATTACTTTGGATTTCTATAAGTAGTTGGTTTTCTCCCAAAACTTTACCAACTTTTCCAGATTTTCTTTTTGGATTCTAAGGTTTATATCTGGGGATATTTTGCTAGTTTTCTTTGATGTTTTGATTGAGTATTCAACTCATAGTTTAAAGAGTATACATCAAAGGATTATTTGTTTGTTCTACATAAAAGAGAGAGTTGTTCTTCGGTGGATTCTGAAGAATTCGAGCCTGAAGCTTTGGTGGATTCCGGAGTGGCTCATCGTCAAGACAATTCCGAGGTGAAGACGGGGTTGGAAGAGACACATAGAGGTTGGTTCAATTCGGGCGTGGATTCGTTAGGTAATTGAGAGTATACCTGTGTAATTCCTTTATATCTTCTTAGTGGATTGTTTTGTGGCTGTTGCCCGTGGTTTTTTATCACAATTGGAGGTGCCCAATTGTGGTTTTTCCACATTAAAATCGTTGTGTCGATTTGTCTTGATTGTTTGATTGGGATTGTTTTATTGCTTAAAATTGATACATAATCACAAATCAACATCTAGAGGATTTCTAGATTTTTCATTTGGCATTCTAGGTTAGGTCATCTGTCGAGTGATCGTTTGAGGATGTTAGTTCGGTCCGAACATTTAGGCAGTTTTCCCATTGATAATATTTTTGAGTGTCGAGGTTGTAAACTGGCTAAAATGATTGCTCTTTTTTTTTATTATTTTTTTATAATAAAAGTAGTTCTATTTCTTATTCTCCTTTTCATTTGGTTCATACTGATGTTTGGGGTCCTTTTCCTATAGTTACCAATGGTGGTTCGCAATATTATGTGTCTCTTGTGGATGATTATAGTTCATTTAACTGAGTTTATTTGATGACCCAAAAATCTGATTTTTACAAAATATAAACTACAAATTCACAAAAGACACATAATTGGTTTACCTGGCTTCGGTGGATTCTTTCTGATATGGGTGTCTCTCTTTCTGATCTGACTTCGTTGTATTGTGATAATCAGAGTGCTGTCCAAATTGCCCATAATTCAGTCTTCCATGAGCGGACCAAGTATGTTGAAATAGATTGTCACTTTGTCAGACAGCATCTTCAGGCTGGCACTATTACTCTTCCTTTTGTTTCCTCCTCTCTTCAGTTGGCCGATTTTTTTACGCAGACTCACACTGTTGCTCGTTTTCGTTTTCTTCTTGACAAACTTTCGATACTTTCTGCGCTCGCATCCTCAGTTTGAGGAAAGGGGGGGGGGGGGAAATGTAGTCTTACTAGATTCCTGTGTGAAAAGGATATGACGTTCATGGCCTCTGTTTTGCCCTTTTTGATGGTAGGTTGTGCACTTAATACCTCTCTCAAGTACTCAGCTCTTTTGATCATCCCTCTGAGCTCACATGCCCACTCAGGTTCGACGATCCAATGTATAACGTTGATTATGCCTTCAGATGGACCGTCGACCGGCATCCCACTTGGTCTATTGAGGTCCTAGGGGGCAAGTTGTGTTCCCCCTTCAATATACTGGTCCTAGTGCCCAGCCGCCACTAACTCCTCCAAATGTTGCCGCAATGGTGTGCAATTTTCAGTTCGGTGTCCCTTTTTACCATAAAAGGTGCAACGGTACCTCTTATCGTAACCCCTTTGCACTTCTCCCAACTTGGTTGGCCGCCGAATGAAGGGTTCATCGCGTATCTCGCTAAGAATCCGGTAGATAGGTTTGTTGAACACTGTGGTAATGGCAGTGCGGACTCTTAAC